TTCTTTCGAAGATGATGAATCTCCAGCCATATTGGAATACCTCCTCGCTAATGACAAAATCGAGCTACCACCTATTAAAGATCAAGATGGAGCTAAGAGGATTACAGATCCAAACTACTGTGCGTACCACAGAAGTGTTCTTCATCCCACCGAGATTTGCTTCGGACTCAAAAACAAGATCCAAGCCTTAATTGATTCCGGCGTCAAAACGACGAAAGAAGTCGAGTAAAGACGACCATATTACTCCATTGGGTACACGAGTATAAACTGTTTTCCCTGACTCCGATAAGTATACGAGTATAAACTGCTTCTCCATCTAACTCCAGTGGGTGCACGAGTATAAACTGTTTCCCCACACTCCAAAGAGCATATGAGTATAAACTGCTTCTCGATTATCCAACTGAGTACAATGTTAAACCCGGTTTCACAAAGGAAACCGGGGGTGGATGATTTATATAACGAGAAGTTCCTGGAGAATCTTATATCCTTAAGGATAACCCGAACATGCGACTGAGGATAACGTACTCCTCGTTACACCCAGTTTTGCAAAGAAAGCTGGGGGTGGATAATTCATGTAACGGGAAGTTCCTGGAGAATCTTATATTCTTAAGGATAACCCGAACATGCGACTGAGGATAACGTACTCCTCGTTACACCTAGTTTTGCAAAGAAAGCTGGGGGTGGATAATTCATGTAACGGGAAGTTCCCGGAAGAATGTTAAATGTAATATTCTTAGGGATAACCCCGATCATTATGAACAAAGTGATAAACACTAAACTCCTACTATGACTTCCGAATACTCTTTTGCTGAGATGAGATTCGATCACCTCTTTAGATCAATCTTCCCTCACAAAATTCCCATTTTGGTCAAACCTTTAAACAGTTAGGACCAAAGCCAAAATCCCCTCTCGATTCGTTCCATGAACGAGAGGTCCACAAATTGAACGATCAAACCTTTAAACAGTTAGGATCGTCTCAAATTCCCATCTTGGTCAAACCTTTAACAGTTAGGACCGAAGCCAAAATCCCCTCTCGATTCGTTCCATGAACGAGAGGTCCACAAATTGAACGATCAAACCTTTAAACAGTTAGGATCGTCTCAAATTCCCATCTTGGTCAAACCTTTAAACAGTTAGGACTAAAGCCAAAATCCCCTCTCGATTTGTTCCATGAACGAGAGGTCCACAAATTGAACGATCAAACCTTTAAACAGTTAGGATCGTCTCAAAACTCCCACTTGGTCAAACCTTACTACAGTTAGGACCAAAACCAAAATCTCCTTTCGATTCATTTTTTGCGAACGAAGGGTCCACTTTTGAATTGAGTAATCAAACCTTATGACAGTTAGGATTATTCAAACCAATCCAGATTCTCTAAGTGGAGATCCCACTTTGAGTTTCTTTACTCCAGGAGATAGAATATAAAATTCTTTTTCTCCGATTCTGGGTTTATCTCTACCAACAAACAAGAGACCAGGAGATAGAATATAAAATTCTTCCTCTCCATCATCGGGTTCATCTCTACCAACAAACAAGAGACCAGGAGATAGAATATAAAATTCTTCCTCTCCATCATCGGGTTCATCTCTACCAACAAACAAGAGACCAGGAGATAGAATATAAAATTCTTCCTCTCCATCATCGGGTTCATCTCTACCAACAAACAAGAGACCAGGAGATAGAATATAAAATTCTTCCTCTCCATCATCGGGTTCATCTCTACCAACAAACAAGAGACCAGAATACTCCAATAGGTATACGAGTCTAAACTATTTCCCTAATCTCAACAGGAAGTTTCTGGAGAATATTACTCAAAATATTCTTAAGAATAACCTGATTACCTCCCAACGGGTATATGAGGTTACACTATTTCCCGAACACTCCAATAGAGCATATGAGTATAAACTATTTCTTAAGTTCTTCAACAACAGTTCTGATTCAAGACTTCGACGACGGGCACGCGATAAACGCAGCACCGGAGGAATCTTAGCTATTCTACAAAGCACTGAATAGACTAAAAGATAAAGAAGTCAAGGATTGAAGCTATTCGCAGACCATTCTACGCAACTTCCCCAACAAAGCACTGGAGAAATTGCAAGAAAAGCTTATCATATCCAAAGTGTCCCAGACCCCTCTCTAAAAAAATGATGAGTCTGAGATACTTTGGAGGGGGTATCTGTAGACATCAAAAAATGCTTACAGACATTCAAACACCACTCAAGACGATATAGAAGAACAATATACACGTCATCAAGCAACATATGGCGGCGCGGCAGGACATGGTGCCGCGGCTAAGGCGCGGCAGACCAAGGTGCCGCGGCTAAGGCGCGGCAGACCAAGGTACCGCGGCTAAGGCGCGGCAGCCTATGGTGTCGCGGCTTAACCGCTGCAACCTATGGTGCCGCGGCAGTTAAAG